ATAGATTCACAGATAGAATTTAAGTTACCAACATCGAATTTAAAAAAAAAAAACAACGCATATCCCCACATATTTTGTCCGAAAATAAATCCAACCACAACCAATGGAAGCCCCGAAAGTACTGACCACAATTACGACCTTTCTCTACCATTTCACAAATAGGCACAACATTTTCTATTACACTATCTGGTTTAACTAGACATTGTAGATATGTCACTACAGCAGATGTTACAATGAAACGCATAGCTTTAGCCACTTTCCAATCCATCATGAATAACAAAACATGAATAAAATATATCTGTTGGCATAATTATGTCTTCTAAAACACCCCTTTGTTAAGTTTTGCTCCACAGCACTGAAGCAGATGTGTTAATAAAACCAGTTTAGCTTCACTGGATACAACAGCATGTACTAAAAGAGCATTAGCATGGCTGTTAGAGTTCTTCGATGATCCCCAGCTTAGGTTATCTTTAAAGTAACTCCCAACAATGGGACTATATAAATGATGCATTATTCTATAGAAACTTCCCAACAGGAAACTTGATGCATATGCTCCTTAACAAGCTTCTCTATGTGAACAATGGACCTCCACTGGGACTTTCACTGATAATTCCTCTCTCTGTAAAAAGAGCTACACTAATCGACACTCAGCAGTTACTCTTTTTAAAATCGTTCTTCTCAAGATAGAAATGCGTAGGCTCAAGGCCATTGCTTTGCCTTCTTTTTTCTAACATATTCTGAAGGGTTTTTTTTTTTTTTGCTGGAGTTTTAAGGGTTGCTGTTTTTATGTTTGTGTGTGTGTGTGTGTGTGTGTGTGTGTGTGTGTGTGGGGGGGCGCCAAGAGACAGGCCGAATGAGAAAAGATGGATGCTGCGGCGTGCAGCTGGGAAAGATAATGAATGAAGTCGACCGTGGGTGGCGAAGACCATCACTAAAGCATAATGGGTCCCAACAGAGAGACGGGGATATTGACCCGTCCGTCACTCCCCTCCCTTACTTTTCTCCCTGTCTTACAAATACTCCCCCCTTATGAGTGTGTGTACACAGCCTGGCACAGACACACACTCTGCAGTGTACACATGAATCAAACAATCCCAAAATGCACTTTGTCATTGCACACACACACACACACACACACACACACACTGCGAGTCCCTACAGCACCTTGTGCATCTTTTTCTCGTCCTAACTCGAGAAACTTCTGCAAGTGTGCGCGTGTGAATTTCTTGGAGGGGGGGGGGGGCCTCTGTGTTTGCTCTTCTTAACTGAAAGCAAATGGAAGAGTTTGCGCTCCATGACAGGAACTGTGTCATCAAACACATACGAACTGTGCAAGAAACTCCACAGAGAGAGAGAGAGAGAAAGAGAGAGAGGTCCCCCTCCATGCCGAACGCCAGCTGAACCAGCTCCGCTCTTATTTGACTTACTTCAAGCAAACTTCTTTGATAAGGCTTCTCTGAAAAGCTCTCAAAGCCACTTGCCGTTTTGGAAGCAGACTCAGCGACGCATTTCTTTCCGTCCTGAACTTTTAAAAGCTGGCAAACCATTCTATACTTCCACTTGGGTGGTGTTGCTTTGTCTGATGTAAATCGTTCCGAGTTCTGAGAGGGAACAGTGGTGCACACCAATTGTCTTTCATTACTCTCCAATGTGGACACATCTGTCTAGCTTTGACAGCAGCTGTTATCTTAGAAGGCTTGCTGTTTACTTTTTCTTTCTTCCCTTTCATTGATTTATTTATTCGCACATTCATTAATTCATTTTTTCGCTGTCCTTAGTCAGTGGTCAATAAACTGAGGGGACTCAACCGCCTAACATCAGAGGCAGCAGCAGGGATCAGTCGGCGATTATAGTCATTACAGTTTGTGCTTACATAGGGCTCTTGCGCTTTGTGCCACATCTCCCTTCGTCAGCTGGCAGTCTGAGCTCTAATCTGCCAGTTATAACAAATGGCAGACGAGGGAAGAGGAGGAATAAGCTGTAAGAGAGGAAAGCAGGAATGCGGATGAAAAAATGGGCCATTGGTGGCAAAAAAAAAAAAAAACATATTTGAGTCAGAGTCTTTCTTTTAGTCTCACCTGTGACATAATGTAATGTTATCCTTTATAATGTGCTGTCATCATATGTCCAGTGGACCTTTTGTTATCATCTAGAAATGATATACCATTAATGTATGCTTTTCAAGGATTCAACACTTTTCAGCCCGTTGTTTACTTGGGTTGTGGAAAACGAGTTTCCAGCAAGAGGCCAATTAGAGCGTTGAGCCTGCAGTAGCTCCAAACCACCTGCTGTCTCCATCCTTCTATAGTGCGTATGTAAACACTATACATATTTAAATGCATCACTCAAATGTGGATCTATTTCCCTCTCCCCCGCCAGTTCAAAGGGCTACACCAGAGACAAGTGTCTGATGAAATCCTAATTACCCCCCTAATTGGTAATTGTGAAGTGGTTGTGGCACGTGGCAACGGTGCAGCTTCTCCTGCTATCGATCGCCCTCCTACTCTGCCTATTGATTTGCACTTGATCCATTTAATTGCAATTATTCTTCCACCTTGTATTATCCACCCCCCCCCCCCCCGCAAGACACGAACAGAAAACTGATCAGCTGGTATTTTTCATGCAGAGGTAAAAAAAACAAACAACAAAAAAAAAAAACTGCAGTGCAGTGATAGAAGAGATTTTGAATGAAGGTCAAGATCGATGTTGAGGCTGGGATTAAGTTTTTCAATCGACTTTAAATACACTTGATGATGCTTAATCCCTTAAGAGGAAGTCAAACTATGATTTAAAAATCCTGATTTGGTGCTTGCTTATTACGTTCTAGGTGCAACATCAGCGAATAAAAAACAAATATCCATGTCATGTTAGGACCTTGAGATATTATTTTCTTGTTTATCTTTTTACACATTACAGTACACTTATAAACACATACCATACACAGGAAGTCAAATAACACACCTTATTCCTGGTACAATAATACACTTAGTAGTTACCTGATATGTTCATCTTAATTTATTGTAAAAAAAAAAAAAAATGTCCAAAACACAAAGTGGCAGAAATTAAAAACAGCTATGGGGTTTCTTCTGTGGTGGAGCAGGGGCTCCTCCCACACACGTGATTTAACTCAAAATGTTAATTGAACGCCCTCGATGCGTTTTACTTGTTAGAAAGTGTTAACGTTACAACACACTATTTCTTTACCAACATACTCAACTTAAAAACGCATCCACGTGTGCCGACGTCTGTTTCTAAGATGTTATAAAGCAGGAACTGTGTGAACGTGTCCATCCATGTAAGTGTTTTGTCGCTGCTCCAATCCCTCGTTCCTTACATCTCTTCTTTCCACCTCACTTCTAATTTCATGTGACACTTAATCTTAACTTGTGTTCTCACTCGCTGATTACAACCCCCCCCCCCCCCTCCCCCTCCATACACACACACACACTCTCAATTCTCCATAGAATGAACTAGAAATGGTAGTGAGGAGTAAAGGCTGTAGAGAACAGAAGGCTGTTTTAGGCCTCTATAATTGTTTCTCGGTTTCACGGACTTGACCCCTTATTTATTTGACTGGCATTTACGACCTGGGAATTAACTCTTCACTTGCAGGGACAGTCAAGAGACAGAAGACTGGAGTGAGTGGCAGTGGGTGATGCTGGCTGGCTGGTGGGGGGGGGGAGTGAGTTCATGAACCCATAAAGCTTACATGGGAGAGACTTGACAGACCATATCTCATTACTGGCTCGGCTTGGAATGAGATGGGCCCCTTTTTGCTTGTCCCTCACTGGTTCGATTGATTAGTCGGCAGCCAATCAATGTTAATTAAGGTGTAGAGAATCCTTTAATTGTGGCGTATGAATCATTGTGTCAGACCCCGCCTTGACCTTCACAAGACTTACACTGTGAATGCCTTGCTGGGGAATAAATACCGTTAATAAATTGTAAGATAATGGTCGTCCTAATGGCTTTTCGATTTGATCGACAACGATCCTGTATATGTCCTGTAATTTTGGCTCCAATGGAATCCATACTCCGCTTCACTTTCTGTCTTTCACTTTGCAAACACATGATCAATACCTGTCAAAACATTCAAGAGTTAATGTTGTGAGATAAGCGTTGCCATTATGCGCGGCGAGTCACTCTCGGTGCATAAGAAGCGGGGCTGTGATTGATGACTGCCAAAAACAGAATGGCACATGAGAACACCACCGGCACCGTAATTGTGTTTTTTAATGAAGACCTACATTTCATGTTGGAGCTGATTTCGCACTCAGTTGATTGTGTCTGCCCCCCCCCCCTCCTCCTCTCCACCGCCGCTGCCATCCATCATGTGTTAATAAGAATGTAACCTGTAACATGGGTTAAAGACTGGCTCTATGGCCATGACGTCCAACTCTACTTCCCCAATAGAGACATGAATGTAGCCATACCAGTGCTTTCCTTCAAAGAAAGGTGAATGTCAGAATGTCTCAGAATAAAATGCACACTTGGGTCCCAATTCACACAGCTTTGTTTCCTTCACATTTTCAAATAAATTGTTAACCAGGGTGCTTTGTGAGACTGTTATCCACCACTGTGTCTTGTGACTTATACGTCTACACATAAGCAGTGTTTTTATGTAAGACAAAGTTAAACTAATGAATACAATTGTATGTACTTTGGAGGAACATAGAAAACATTATTATCTATTTCCACTAATATATACAGTACAATCTCTTTCCAATGGTCCGTATAGAACTTCTTTTTCATTTTCTGCTTCTGCTGTGTATCTAAAGGAATCCTTTGTATTAAAAGGAAGAGACTGGATGAATCATTTCCTTAACCAATGGAGCTTCTTACTCTTCATAATCTCTTCTACAGAATGTAATACTTTAAACTTCATTACCCACATAGTAATTATCTGACTAATATGCAGTTGTATATTCTGGCCATTTAGGAGATTGTCTGGTGAGGCTATTGTTGCTGGTTTTTCTGACAGACCTTTTCTTCTCTTTCAGATGTAATAACCGGACCCAGTGTGCCGTCGTGGCCGGACCAGATGTATTTCCTGACCCCTGCCCGGGAACCTACAAATATCTGGAGGTCCAATATGAATGTGTGCCCTACAGTATGTATTCCTTCATTCTTCCACACGCTACTGCACCTCCCTAATGCTCTTATCCATTCTCATTTCCTATGAACAGCAGTGACTCATCAACAAGCCAATCATCGCGTATGCTCGTAATGTTCCAGATGCTCAAAAATATCTCGAATGTGTCATCCAGTTTAGTAGAAAAGATTAAGACGCAGCAGTGGCAGCAAGGGAAGTGAAGACGAGTGATGATTCCTGTGATCTGTGAAACATAACATCCTGTTGGAGTACAGGAAATAATATTGACAGTGTTGTTTACATGTAGAAAAAAAAGATAATCTATCAGTGTGTGCTTATGGACAAAATACTACTCTTATAAAACTGTGAAGTTCTTGTCATGAATGACAAATCATTCACGCTTCATTTCTCCAATCTACATGGACTCAATTATTTAGAGAACTTGTTGAGCTTGTTTATTTTGTACGAGTGTTATCTTCATCGGGACATTGGCTGCGTAATTTATTAAAGATAAAGGAAGATAAAAGTGCTAAAGCCACTGGAAACATGGCTTTGGATATTAAAAACGCATTCATAATATTAAAGATTAGTCTCATCAAGCGTCCATGACAATATTAGTGAAAATACATGCTGGTAAATTAAAAAAACAAATGTTGCTGTTAAAACAGTATGTCCATAGTGTGTAGGTGTGGTTGATCACATTTTGTTTGACATGTCCCTGCCTCCACACACACACACACACACACACACACACACACACACACACACACACACACACACACACACACACACACAACAGTGGCTCATGTGACAATCATGTCCTTAACAGAACGCTTGATTCTGAATCAGAGAAGCACGCATAAGGACTGCCATCTAAAAATATTCACATCAGCTCGTCCCTCAATGATGTGCTTCAACATGCTTTGCTCGATCACACGTTAGCGGCGGTGCCTCTATTTCCTCTAATGATTCTTATGCTTAAAGAACCTCTGCAGCGAAAGCCAGAGTTACATTTTTTTTACAAAGCTAAACTTGGTAATTCATGCTCAGCACCAGCTGCTGAAAATCGACCAGTGATTGCTCGTACTCAAAATACCACTCAACATTGCTAAGTCTAGGTCGACAAAATTGCAAAGTAACTTCCCCGTGATTGCTTCTGCGATTTGTTCTCACATTTATTTGCAAGATTTTCTCTAAAAATATAACCATGACCATTTTTAAACACAAAATCATTACACTTCATCACTACAGAAACTTGGTTTTGGATTTCAACTTATTTGAGGGGTTTTTCAGAGGCCTGCTATAATCTGCAATAAACGCTAAATAATATAGTTACATAGCTCTTTCAGACTCGGGTGTCCAGTGGCTTTAGGGTCAGAAAAATTGCAGAGTTGCCGAGCAGAATAACACAGCTGTGAAGGGATTCTGTCAACAACATGATGAAAGTCGCATATGTTTCATAAGATGAGATATCATAAGATTTATGTCTCCAACCTAACATCAGGTTTCACAGCAGTTTAATATATTTGAGGACTCATGTCTGATTCTCAAGTCTTTGTAAGTATAGCAGCAAGGATGACCGGTTGAATTTTCATCAAAGCCAAATGTACTCGTTTCACTTGTTTTTCGCTTCAGTTCAGCTCAGTGGACGTCTGTTAATGTTCAGGCTAGTGAGGCATCTCGGAAGGGGGCAAATAAAAAAGGATTTAATTAGTGCGGCGGTAGAAAAATGCTGTCAGGCTCATGCACAGAGCTTGAATGGAAACATTTGGGCTGGGAATGGAAGGACCAGCGTGGGGTGACAGGATGAACACATTCACAGAGGAAGTTCAGGTGAGGCTAGAGGAAGTGGCATGGACATCACCATGTGACCTTAGGTATTGTTTTATGATGACCTTTGAAGTGGAAAAACCAAAGTCACCATAATTATGCCTGCCAAAAAAATCTAATCTGTTGTGTCAGTGGAAATTTTGGATCACTGGTAATTTATCGGTTTAGTCTGCAGCTGCTAGGTTCAAGTGAACTCTAATTCAAATTCAAATCGAAACCATCATTTTTTTTTTAAACATTTGATGTCCTTACATGGCTCCCTCAGTAGTTTACCTCAAAGGAGCTTTCATGTTTCAGAGTAAAAAACAGTTCTACCTGTGATCCAGCGCTGGCAGATGGCTCTTTTGTACCAGACCCTCTGCTATGAGCACATTTTGCCACCTCAGCCTCTGAATGTCAGAGTCTTTGCTAGATGTCCATGTAGACACTGACTTGACTAAAGCTACTGCAATAAATAGAAACAAAACTTTTGATCAGTCCTCTAGTTTTCAGTTTCTGTCTGTATTCAAATACTAAGTGTGCATTGCGTTAGCTGGCAAAATACATTTTTGCTCCAAAATTTTTCCATTGGGCATTTTGCAGGTCAAATTTCCATTTACTCACATGGGAACCTAGAGAGGCTTTGTTTAATCTTGTTTAAACCAAACCATGCAAACCTGCCTACGGCAATATGGACTTGAATTTTGTCGTACTTCAGTGTTCTACATGGCATACCATTATTTGAACAATTTGTCAAAATACGTGTTGGTTGTTTGAAATTGTTTTCTTTCAGTCCTGGTTATGGTGTTGGATAATATAACTTGGGGTGGCCTAATTTTTTAAAGGCTTCTGGTGTAGCCAGCAGTTATTTGGTCAAGTGATAAAGGATACCTCGGCTTTGACTTCCTTTTCAGAGTGAAAGTTGTTCGACAGTCCAATTAGCAACTCAGAGAATGGAGTTCACATGGAGAGATGGCTTCCTCTTACAGATTGTTGGCTCCTCTTATAGTTATATAAGATGCTAAATCTTGGTGAGATGATTGTTTCTGGCTGTGTCCCGTCCACATTTGGACTGTTTTCATTAACTCAACCAAAGCCCCATTGGACACAATCAGACAACAATGCTTCGGCTGCAGACCAAAACCAAAAGGCTTCCAACACCAAAAGATTGAGGGCAGTCACAAAAAAAGCTCCTGTCCAGTGCAGAGGGTTGGTTTTTGCCAACCTTCCCCAATCTTTGTGACTGAATTTAATAACTATCCTGTCCACTGGAAATTCTTTGAGACCCAGGGACCCACAGCTTTCCCATTCAGCTGTCTGCCCACTTCCCCTTCCTTTTTAATTATATACTCAACTTCCTCAACAAAAGCCAAGTCAAAACAGTCTGCTGAATTGTTAGGAAAACTGCTTCTGGCAGCTTTGTTACTGTGACATGGGGGCTGCCTATTAGGTTTGCACCAGGGAGGAAAAATCGGGGGCACCTTGTCTGGAGTAAGTGTAGATGGTGCCCAGAGCCATCGTAGGATAAAGAATTCTGCTGGCATAGCATAAACATTGCAGAAGTCATGTAGGCGTTTATTTGTATATTGAGCTTGAGGCAAAGTGTAAAACGGTCACTTGAGACACATTTTTATTGCAGGGTGTGAATGCAATTCATCTGTGACGGCCCAGTGGACTCTCTCCTAAACAAAGCAATCAGATCCTTTTAGCAGGAATGAGCCACTTCTGCAACAGTTTGATGTGTGTTTTTCTGACTTGAAGCGCTAAATAAATGGAATTTTGATGTTGAAATCTCTAAGAAATGCTTTGAAAGACACATGTATTGGTAGAAACATTAAGGGAACGTGTATGATTGGAGAAACAGCAGCTCAATTCTGGATGGGCTTTCAACACAAGTCTTCTTTCCAAGTTCCTGAGACGGACTGAAGGATTTGAGTGTCTAATAAGAGAAGCAGCCACCCATGACTTGGACTCTCCTTCAGTTGTCGAGTTCTGACTCTGTATTCCACAGACGAGCTCTAAGCCCTCAGTCCTAATAGTCCTTTTCTTCCAAGTCCTCCCTCACTTTCACTAACATTTTGTCCCTTAAGTGCTCTCACTGCCTTTTACCCCCTATATCCCTTTATTTGCTCCCCAACTTCACAAATCCAGCCGCCCCTCCTCCTTTTCACCGCCACCTTCCTTGACAGCTTTTAATCTGTATTCCGCTTTAGGAGCTCCTCTTTTCTTTTTTCTTTTTTTTCCTTCTTTTAAGGATAGATTACAGCTCTCCTCTCGATATCTTCGTAAGCCTGCGAGATTGGACGATCGGATCCGCTGTTAATAACATCAGAGGAGTGTGCTAAATCGATGGACACATGGCCGCAGACACAATGTTGATTTTATTAATTTGCAATTTGATCCGCTCCATCAGTTGTAATAAGGAGAAAAAGACATTACAACATTTACAACTATGTGTGTGTGTGAGCTGTGTGGCAGTGTCACAGCACGGGGCGATCCATCGTGTTTTCATTTGAACTGCCGCCTGGATAATTATTTGATATTAGCTGCAGGGAAATAGCATAAAATTGAACAACAGGGGAGGGAAAATATCACTGATAGCAAGCTAAAACAATGGACACTGAAAAGAAACCACTTTTTGTCCGTACCCATATTAGTCAAAGTGGAGTCATGTGAACATCAGAATACACTCATTTTTCATCTTCCCCAGCTCCCTTTCGCCTTTGTACTGCTGCAGCATGTGCATGCTGCCCAATGCACTCTCCAGATTAGTAAAGCGACCCTCAGGCAGAAGCGATGTGCTGACCCTTTATGATGACTCATAAACATGACAGAGCTCCGATGGCTGACATCTGCCTCTGCCCCGCCCTCTTACCTTGAATTTTCATGGGTTCAGCAGAGAGAACCTATGTCTACTTCTCTCCGTGCCGTATTGAAACCTCCTCCTTTCTCTCATTGCAACTTCTTTAGCTCCTCCCAAAGGTTGAGCTCATAAGAGGTCAACACAACTGTGTCTCCGTCCAACGCCAACCGAGTGTTTGTTTCCTTGGCAGTAATGAAGCGCCGACACCCCCTCGGTGGCCCTTTACATTCTCAAAGTTGTCAAAAAAAAAAAGGAAAGCAAACCTGGGTTACCGCAACGTGTTTCGACATTTCTGTTGTTGGTCTGCAAGCTTTCTTGTATCCCTCTCCCTCCACTAATTAGATGG